ATTTTCTCGGTGCTCTCAGCCATCCTGTACCTGGGCAACGTCACCTACAAGAAGAGGCCCACAGGCCGCGACGAGGGGCTGGAGGTCGGGCCCCCAGAAGTGCTGGACACACTCTCCCAGCTCCTCAAGGTACCAGCCGACCAGGCAGGAGCTTCCCACTGACGCCGTGGCCCTCCCTTGTTTCTGGCAGCCAGCCCTACATCCCCCAGGCACGGTCCTCTTGTGAGATCCTCCCAGGCGACTCTGCCCCTAGGCTACATTGGTGACTCTCAGAACCGGGCCAGAAACCTGACTTTAGCAGAAGTTTAACATAAGAGATTGTGTCTAGCTAGCTTTCTACATGCCTTCTTACTTACCTGACTGCTTACCTGTCTACCATCTGTCTGCATGCCTACTTACCTACCTGCCTGCCTCTCTGTTCCACTGCTTCTCAGGTGAGGGGGGTTCTGTCTCACCCCTCAGGGTGCTCAGCAATATCTAGGGGACATTCCTGGTCGTCACATCTGGGGCTGGTGGGTGCTACCGGCAACGAGGGCCTGGGGGCAGGGGAGGCTACTCCACACCCCACAGTGCCCACCACAGAGAATGAGCTAGAATCAGGTGTCACGATGCACAGATTGGGGATCCCTGGCCACAGTCATGCTTCCAGTGGGACCCGTGGGTGCCGGGCTGCTCCCCGCTCCCTCCTCTGTTGCAGGCAGCGAGAGACTACTACACCAGGGAGGGGGCTTGGTGGCTGGCTCTCCAGGGGAGGCCCAAGCCCAGGTTCAAGTAGTGATGGTTGTGATAGGGCCCAATGGCTGCCCTCACCCCCCACGCTTCCGTGGCCATACCAACTGTCAGCCTGGGGAGCGAGAAGTCTACAGCACCCCCGGTGCAGCACGGGTCACGGGTTGGCTGACCTGAGGCGGTCGGGGGGCGGGGGGGGGTGGGAGGCTCGACTGCCCTTCTGGCCCAACCACTCTGAGTCCCATTGCCCTTCCCTCTGGGCCTGGCGCAAGGAATGCCGACCTCGCCTGACACCTCCTCACCCCTCTCCTCTCGTCCCCTCCCCCGGCGGGGAAACAGGTGAAGCGAGAGATCCTGGTGGAGGTCCTCACCAAGAGAAAAGCGGTGACCGTCAACGACAAGCTCATCTTGCCCTACAGCTTCAACGAGGTGAGCACGGCCTCGGGCCGCCCTCTTACTGGCCAGGTGGGTGGGCACAGGGCGGTAGAATAGGACGTGGCAGCATCATGGTCCTCCTGTGCACATGGGCACAGCACCCACTGCTGAGATGGCCAACTGCAGCCCGAGGGCCAAATCTGGCCCCCCACTTGGGTCTGTCGGTAAAGTTTTATTGGCACCCAGCCACACACATTCATTTTGCACACTGTCAGTGGCTGCTCTTGTAGCCTCTGGGTGGTGCACATGTTCAGGCACTGGGCTGCTGGCCAAATGTTGGAGGTTCCAGTCACCCAGAGGCGCCTCAGAAGAAAGGCCTGGTGATGAACGTCTCCAACAATCAGCCCCCGAGAACTGTGACACCGCGTGGGGTCAGCAGGGCCGGGCTGGGTCCACGGCAGAGCCGAGTGGTGACCAGAGAGGGGGGCTGGCTACCAGCACCACAGGGTCTCACTGTTGGGCCTTTGCAAAAAAAGGGGGCCCACTCCTGAGCTCCACGTGGCCTGAGACACTGCTTCTTGGACTCTTGGTCTGAGGGGCTCAGGCCAGACCTCCTGAACCGTGAAACAGCGCCACCACCGCCCCCACCACCACCCCCGGCCTCCGTCCCAGCGGGGTGTTTCCTTGCTGGAGTGTGTTGCAAATTTCACCCCCATGAGTCCACGTGGGTACAGCAGGTCACCAGCGTGACAGAGAGGGGCCCAAGGGGACAGCTCCTAGTCGGGGATGGTTTGCTCCCTCAAAGGCTGGTTGGGGAGTGGCCCTGGTGGTGGTATGGTTATGCACTGGGCTGCTAACTACAGGTCAGCTGTTCAAATCCACCAGCAGCTCCTGGGGAGAAAGGTGAGGCCTTCCACTCCCGTAAAGAGACACATTTCTCAGAAGCTCAGGGGCAGTTCCAGCCTGTCCCTTAGGTCCCTGTGAGCGACCATGAGTCTCATTTGGTCTCACGGACAATCTAGAGCCGGGGGATGTGGATGGTGCGTGCATTCCACTGGAGGTGTGCCACACCCCACCCCACCCCCCCCCAAGAAAAACCTGGCAAGTTTCCAGGTGGCGCACAGCTTGCAAACTAGGAGCGTGCCTCTGCCCTAGACCCATGTGGGCTCACCTCGATTGGGGTTGACCCCTGAGTGGGACAGGCCTTCAAAACACGCCTGGCTGCTGACCGAAAAGTTCACTCAGGGGCCCTTGGAAGAAGGTCTGGTGACCTACTTGTGAGCAAGCAGCCGTGACAAACGGAGCGCCCCCCGGTCCACCCCACTGTGTGGTGGAGACGGCCACCGACCAGACGCTTAGAGGCCCAGGGCCACCCGTGACCCCTGTCTGCATGGCGCCCTCCCCGTGTGCCCAGGCCATCACCGCACGTGACTCCATGGCCAAGTCCCTGTACAGCGCGCTGTTCGACTGGATCGTGCTGCGGATCAACCACGCCCTCCTCAACAAGCGGGACATGGAGGAGTCTGTGTCGGTGAGCGCCCGCCCAGAGACTGGTGTGGGGGGGAGTCACCGCCACCCACCCGCAGGCCCGGGGTGGGGTGTGGGTGGAGGGAAGGCTTCATGATTTGAGGGACCCCGCCCAGAGTGGACACGAGGGGCCTCACAGCAGCCCGGGTCGGCGCCCACTCCCTCTGGAGAGCCTTGCAGTCACCCCGCCGCCCGGTTTGCACAGTGTCTGTCCATCGGGGTCCTGGACATCTTCGGGTTCGAGGACTTCGAGAGGAACAGCTTTGAGCAGTTCTGCATCAACTACGCCAACGAGCAGCTGCAGTACTACTTCAACCAGCACATCTTCAAGCTGGAGCAGGTGAGGCCCATCCCCCACGCTCTGCCAAGGCAGGGCCACCCCCACAGGGTCCTCAAGTGTTCCCTCTGCTCCCGAGTCCCCGGGGTTTGAGGTGTTCAGAGCTCAGCTCAGAACCGAGAAATGGGCGGTGAGGACCCACCACAAGGGCCTCAGAAGACAGGGCTGCTCCGGGAAGGCCACCGCTCAGAAACACGCCCACCCCACTCACCCCACCCCGCCTTCAGCACACATGGGGCGGCCAGGAGTCGGGTCTGCCCCCTGCCGCCAGCCACCTTTGAATGTGCAAGTGGTTTCCATGGGACTGACCGGAGGGCCGGGGAGGGATCCGTTCTGTCCTTGACAGTGACAATTCTCACAGAAACGGGGTGGTGGGGTGGTGTGTGTGTCTGTCTGTCTGTCTGTCTGTCTAAGGGGACCATGCACAAAGCCAAAACGGTGAGCCCCCACCCATGGATTTATGTGACCGTTCCCTGGTTTTAGCCCCAAGCCTTTGGGCTGTGGCCTGATCCCAAGTGAGATGTGCTGCGAGGACACACGTCTGTCAGATGCGGTCAGCTTGTCCTGCTGTGGTTCGTTGCTGTTGAATTGGCTCTGGCTGTGGCCACTCCACACTTCCCATGCCATCCTCACGGTGACCAGCAGAGCGGTCCTCGGTCACCAGATGTTCTGATGGCCCTCCAGCCAGGGGCTGTCCCCAGTGCTGCGTGAGACACCTGCGTGGGGAGCCCGGTCTTTCCTCCTCTGGAAGCTATGCTGACACCCATCCCCCAGGGGGTCCCCCTGCTTCCAGCCCCAGGGCAGTACAACCAGCGACGGGTGGTGGCTCACACTGGAGCTGGAGGGGCCAAAAGTACGTGAACTATCCAAGTGGATCAGTATCTTTTACATGGACCACGTGTTAAGATTAATTTTTTTTAATTACCTAGAAACTTCCTTTTTGTTTTTTAACGTGGCTCTTAGAAAGTTTAGACTTCGTGCCTCCCACGTGGGAGACCCACCCCCCACCCCTGTTCGGTTCCCAGCCAGGGGCAGCCCCCACCCACCCAGCAGGTGGAGGCTTACCTGCCGCCAGGACGCTGAGCAAGTGTCAGCAGTTTCCAGACGCAGACACACGAGGCAGAAAGGGCTGGTAATCCGCTTCTGCAAACCAGCCAGGGGCACCCTGGGGATCCTAGTGGGCCTACCCAGAGCTGGTGGGGAGGCGGGTGCAGGAACCAGCGGCATTCCCTTCCAACATGCCTGGGGTCCATTGTGAGTGAGTGGGAGGCCAGCTAGCAATGACTGTGTTAAATTAAAAAAAAGAAAAACACCACCCCAGGGAAGGGCAGTCTCCCTCAGGGACTGGGAGTACTGGGGATCACGTGGTCATCAGTCACACACTGGTGGCCTCCGGGGAGCCCCTGGGCCAGTACTGTAAGCACCTCTCCGTCTAACCTACTGTACACGTCCCAGTGATAGCCCCTGACCCCACCCGGGGCCACCACCCCCCCAGGTAACTAGGAGGGACTGCTCTGTCCCCAACCCTGCTTTGGGTGGGCTTCCTTGGACCTCCCGTGTCCAAGCTCCAGCTCAGTGAACCCTGGGGCTCCGTGATGACAACCGCCAGCTAACGGTTTCCCTCATCCGGTGATCCGCCTGTTCATGTCTTGTCCCTGTCCCGTTTCAGACTGAAGGAATGCTCTCTTTAAACAAACAAGAAATCCATTGCCATTATGTCAGTTCCAGCTCACCTATGGAGGCTCCCAAGGCTAAATCTTGACAGGCGCAGAGAGCCTCGTCTTTCTCCCTGAGTTGGCTGGTGGGTTTGAACTCTCAACCTTGCGGTTTGCAGTCCAGTGGTTGACCCTCCAAATCGGACCGGAACAAAAAGCCAAACTCACTGCATGGCGTCCATGCCGACTCCTGGCGACGCTCCTAGGACAAGGTGGAATGCTCCTGTGAGTTTCCTGAGACTGGCACTGCTGAGGGGGGTAGAAAGCCCCGTCTTTCTCCCCGGGCGGCTGGTGGTTTCCAACTGCTGACCTTTCAGAAGGCAGCCCAGCTCATGACCACCAGGGCTCCTTGTTGCCTGGCAGCACCTTTTAAGTCATGGGTGGCTTGCATTGTAATGGCAACAGACGGTGCCTCTGC